GACTCATACTAGACATTTACACTGGTCGATCTCCGAAGTGAAGTCGAAGTCTTCGAATACAATATAGTATGGTAATAATAATAATCATGATGTCGCCTTGCTCATCTATCTGGAAGTGGAACCATTGATGATTGCTCAGCGATCAATGAGTATGCAGTAATACTAAAAGTGGTGGCCTTAGGTGTATTGATGAACGACTAGAGTTTCTTAGGCCCCCTATGAGAAAAGTTCTTATCGTGAATTCCCATAAGAGTAAAGCTCGATTTAGTGAGTGCTGTCTTTGTCACATGTAAAAATCTAGACTGCACCGCATACATTTCTTTCCTCTTAACAGTTCCCGATAAATGGATTTAATAAGCGCGAGATCAAACAAAATTACTTACTCGAGGTATTTGATCATTTTTTGTCGAATATTTGTACTTTGAGGGTAAGTTCTTTAACAGTGACGATTTATGTGAGAGAAATAACTCAATAGCGTCACCAGAAACACATTAAGAATTTACTATAATATCTGGTGAAGAGAAGCTACACGGAGAGAAATATTCAAGAAAAATTACAGAACATTTCACGTAATCCGCCAGTGAGAATCGTTTTTGGGAAATAAATCTGGAACTTTCAGTAAATTTTCAGGTTCTGTCAGCGAAAAAATACGAAAAAGTCACGTAATTTTTCTGGAAGTCTTAAAAGCGAACGAAATTTCAAGACTTATTATGTCCCAGATCAGAAAAATTATTGGATGTTCAAAAATTTTTACGGAACGTCCCGGAAAAATTGCGGAACGTTCCGTAAAAATCCCCCCGTCACGGTGACTCATAGCTAGCCGTGAGGCGTCAGATGGATGAGTAATTTTTACGGAACAGATCGTAGAATTTATGTGATGAGTGTGTCGCTTGCAGATTACGTAAAATGTTCAGTAATTTTTCTTGAATATTTGTCTCCGTGTAATTTCAAAGTTGGTGCAATATTATCCGCTCGTCGTATACGTGACTTTATATAAGGGCTAGGGAGAATAGGGGGTTACCCCGACCTCACATCTTCCGTTGTTCTTATTCCATCCTCTTTATACAAGGGTTCGAGGGTACAAAACTCAAAAGACACACTAGATTGGATAAGAATCGGCATTCATTCAGCCCATTGTGCGTCATTAGTATCTAAAGTCAATCTATCTGCAATTAGAAGACTTCACGGAGAGAAATATTCAAGAAAAATTACGGAACATTTCACGTAATCTGCAAGCGAAGGAATCATCACATAAATTCTACGATCTGTTTTCCGGAACATTCCGTAAAAATTCTTGAATATCAAGGAATTTTTATGTTCTGAGGCATAATAAGAATTGAAGTTCCGTTTGATTTTAAAACATCCAGAAAAATTACGTGACTGTTTCGTATTTTTCCGTGACAGAAACCGAAAATTTACTGAAAGTTCTAGATTTATTCCCCGAAAATGATTCTCACTGGCGGATTACGTGAAATGTTCCGTAATTTTTACTGGAATATTTCTCTCCGTGCTGTCAGCGTGGTTTCCAGTAGGAATACAGATCTTAAAAATAACTGGCTGCGAATTGACAAAATGATGAGTTATGAATTAACAAATGGCCAATTAACTTTTTCAGTTGTTGCTTCAAATGATAATGTGACTGGTACTGAGAGGGGTGGCGATCGTACAGAGATGGAAGTTGATGAACAACGCGAGGGCGCTGGTACTGGTACTCCAAGTACTCCAAGTGCTGTGGAAATTCCGGCGAGCAAAGCAACAAAGCTACGTGGACACGAGTCCGAAGTGTTCATCTGTGCCTGGAATCCAACCAGAGATCTTTTAGCTTCTGGTTCAGGTGACAGCACGGCACGGATTTGGGATATGTCAGATAATTCCCAAGCGCCAAATCAATTGGTTCTTCGTCATTGCATTCAAAGAGGCGGTACCGAAGTACCTAGCAATAAGGATGTGACTTCTCTCGACTGGAATGTAAGTTTAACTGAACAAAAAGGAAAAGTTAACATATCACAAACTTCTTACATTAAGGTATTTCAGGCGAGTTAGAAGGCTATTGTAAAAATGTAGCCAATTCTCCAAGAATTTGAACATGCATTCTGTAATTTATTGGAAAGCAGTGTGTAAATTTCGAGGTTGATGAAGAGCATTTTTCTAAACCTGGTCATTCAATCCGTGTTCTTATGGGAATCAATCGGAAAGCCCGATAAACCAAATAAAAACCGTCGCCAAAGTGATGAAGCTTTGCAGACGTATTGAATGATAAAAAACAGATTTTT